TTTTTTTTTTTTTTTTTTTTTTTTTTTTTTTTTTTTTTTTTTTTTTTTTTTACAAATGAACTTTGCATTCCATTATAACACATTTTTATGTTTTCGAGGCCATAAGTACCCATAATGAAATATTCTTTATGTGATGGGGAGTCATTTTCTGTTGTCGAAGTCATAATTATAATGAAATATTACAAGTATTTATGTGATGGGGAGAAATAAAACCTTAGTGCCACGTCTCCCTGGTTCTTAGCACTGGAACCGGGGCGAGGTTTCACTAGCAAACAGGATTGGATTAAGCATCTGAATCTGGACGTGTTTTACGCAGAGATGCAGAAAAGGAGTTCAATCTCGATTTTCTGTACCTTTCCAACGCGCACGACCAGTTCAGGCATTTAATCGAATCCTCTTTGTTAGTGGGGGACCTCGCCCCTGGTTATCGTGCGAGACCACAGCCAAGGGACGTCGGCTTGGGAGAATCGCCGGGGAAAACAGACCTTGTCATCTAGAAACCTGTAATATTAAAAAATGATAGTAATATAATATTAACAAATAGTAATAATATAATATAAAAAATTATAATAATATCTAGGCTACCAGCCGGGCCGCCCGGATCACCCTGGGTCACCCTATTTGCCGGGCGGCCCGGCCATGCAAGCACCAGGGAAGGTTCCAGGCAAAAAAAAAAAAAAAAAAAACTTCGACAAATCCGAAAACAAACTATGTTATGCAGAAAAATAAACTGAACGACTTTTGCCTCAGGGTCACACCGAAATTCTTTACCAAATTTAAAATAAAAATCGAAATTAGAAAAGAATTTTTATTTTTTCACTTTTTTATTTCTTTTTGGCCCGGCCAGGCAAGTGGACCCGGGCCACTCTGGTAGCCTAGAATAATATAATATTAAATAATAATAATAATAATATAATATTAAAAAAATAATAATAACCTGTAATGTAGAGCTTCCGGGGACAAAAAGCATGACTGGGCTTCGTTTACCAGCACGTACTGCTCCCCGTATATATATATTTGTTCGCCTTACGGTAGGTGATGCCCGTGGCGGTGATTTCATGTGGGACCTGTAATCCGTTTTTTTTTTTTTTTTTTTTTTTTTTTGCAACGAATGAAACAATTGCAGAGGAGTTATTTTTGTATTTTTTTTGTTCAAACGCAATGGAGTCTTGGAGTCGCCGCAGAGTCGCCGGTAGTAGAGTATGAAAGGTTTTGTTATCTGGGATTGATTGTTTGTTTGCAGGCAAGGGTGTTTTTATATCCTGGTTGGTCTTGTCTCGTCGTTAGGCCTGTGACGGAAGAGGGGGGGGGGGGGCGGTGCTTGCATGTGGGGCTTGTCATCTAGGATTTGTTATTGTTTGTTTCCCCCTGTTTTGTTGTACTATTTGGCTGTGCCCTTCCTCTTTCTTTGCCTCTTTGCCTCTTTACCTTTTGGCTGTGTGCAAGTGGGTCGATATGACACACATCGGGGGTGTGGGGGGCAGCCGCCGGTCAACCTACATACATCCACGTGGGCGGCCTTGTACGCAAGTGGTTCATTTTGAACAGGGGGAGACAAAATACGAATTGTTTTTTTTTTTTTTTTTCTGTTTTTTTTTTCGCTTTTGCGCTCTGATTTCTTTGTGACGATATGTATATGTATATATCATATATATGTCCGTCACTACGCGGCCATGCTGTGCCTCTAGTGCCGGCGGCGTGTCTGGAGTACTTTTTTGGCTGTGACAGACCTTTCTTTGTTTCGTGGGTGTTTTGCTGACTTACCTTGTGATGGGGTGTGAATCGACAGTCTGTAGAGTTTTCCATCTGCTTTGGGTGGGTGGTAGTTTGCTTTGATTTTCGTCACAGGTACCTTGAGGGCAGTGGTTGGTGGTCCCCACCACCTCAGAGGGCTATCAGTTGTCGCGCAGTCGTTTATGCTTAACCACAACCGCGGACCGGGGTTAAGGTGGATTATCACTTCCAGTGTAATCAGTTAGGCAGGGGTTTATGCAGACTGTCGAGGGTTCAGCCTCCTCCTGATGAGTCGGTCGGTGAAACTCCGACTCCGACGAAGCAGTTTGTCACAGCCCCTCCCTCATTTGTTGTCCTCTTCTCCCTCTCTCCCTCCCTCCCTCTCTCCCTCTCTCCCTCTCTGCCTACGGTTTTACCGGGCAGCTCTGTTTGACGATATATGATGTATACGCAAGAGGTTCTGAACAGGGGGAGTTGTAAGGAAGAAAAAAAGAATTCAAATTTTCCCTGTGTTTTTTTTCTCTTTTCCCTTTTTTTTGTTTTTTGTTTTTTGTTTTTGCGCTCTGATAACTTCGTGACAATGCATGTCGTCGAACAGAGCTGCCCCGTAAACTGGAGGCAGAGAGGGAGACGAAGGCATATATAGAACAGGTGGGGCTTTCCTTCCTTACTTCGTTACTTCTTTTCTTGTTTTGTCTTTTTCCGCCTTTGCGCTCTGATTTACAGTGTGACAATATATATTGTCACAAGAATATCAGAGCGCAAAAGCGAAAAAAAAGAAAAAGGAAAAGAAAGAAAAACTGAATTCGTTTTGTTATCTTCTTCCTTACAACTGCCCCTGTTCACAACCTCTTGCGTACAAGGCCGCCCGCGTGGATGTATGTAGGTTGAGCGGCGGCTGCCCCCTCTTGCGTTCAAGGCCGCCCACGTGGATGTATGTAGGTTGAGCGGCGGCTGCCCCCCACCCCCGACGTGTGTCATATTGACCCACTTGCACACAGCCAAAAGGCAAAGAGGCAAAGAAGAGAGGAAGGGAACAGCCAAATAGTACAACAAAACAGGGGGCAACAATCATAAACAAATCCTAGATGACAAGTCCCACATGCAAGCACCGACCCCATATATATCTATTAAAATATATCTGACGAAACAGTCTGTCACAGCCCCTCTTTTGTTCGTTCTCTTCCTTTTTTCTTTTACGCCATCCTGCAGCCCACGTTTGATTTATATACTTGTGCTCACAAAAACCCGGAGGCTCATTAATTTTTGCTGTTTTGCAGTTTAATGCCGGCATTTCCCAGGGTGTGAGTTTTTGATCTTTTATCTTTCTTCTTTTTTGATGGCGGCCGGCCTTCCGATGTCATCGAGCTGCCTCCGGAAGGAGGGTAAAGAGCGGTCCTACCTGTTAAATGCAGGGGGTCCTACCTTTTAAATGCAGGGGGTCCTACCTTTTAAATGCAGGGGGCCCTACCCATGCTGTTTGGATGGTATAGAGTTATTTTGGTTTGATGGT